CCGCGCAGATCCGCGCGCCGCCGCCATCCCCGTCGCCGCGATCATTGGGCTCGGCGGGATGGGGAAGACCACGCTGGCGCGCGTCCTGCTCCACGACGATTTGGTGAAGGAAACATTCAATCTGGTGATGTGGGTGTGTCCTTCTGCCACTTACCACAAGGTCGGGCTCGTGAAGCAAATCCTGCAGTCTGCTGGGGTAGAAGTTCCTGACAACATGAACAACTTTGACTGTCTCCAGAGGCGGCTCGAGGATGCCGTGTCATCCAAGAGGTTCCTGCTGGTTCTCGACAATGTCTGGAACAAAGGGGGCATGGACGAGGATAACTGGAGCGAGGTCTTGGCTCCTCTCAGATGTGGCCAGCCCGGCAGCAAGATCATGGTCACCACCAGGAAAAAGATTGTAGCAAACCTGCTGAAGGCGAGCAAGCTGGTCCCGTTGGACGGACTGGCGTTTGCGGATGTCTGGTCGCTGTTCACGAGGATTGCTTTCAGCAATGACAGCGCTGACAAGCATCCGGCGTTGCAGGCAATTGGAGAGCAGCTTGTTCACAAGCTCAAGGGGTTGCCATTGGCTGCCAAGGTCGTCGGCGGGATGCTCAAGGCTTCCCGGAGTATCAGTCACTGGAAGAGGATCTCGGAGATGGAAAGCTATGCCAATGTAACCTCAACGCTAGAGCTGTGTTACCGGAACCTGCAGGAGCACCTGCAGCCATGCTTTGCAATCTGCAGCATATTTCCGAAGAACTGGCGGTTCAGGCGTGACAAGTTGGTTAAGATTTGGATGGCCCTGGATTTCATCCGGCCAGCTGAAGCTGATGGGAGGAAACTGGAGGATGTAGGGAAGGAGTACTTTGATCAACTTGTGCAGGGGTCCTTCTTCCATGAACGCAAAGAGGGCCATCAGAATTACTATTACATTCATGACCTGATGCATGACCTGGCAGAGAGTGTCTCACGAGTTGACTGTGCAAGAGTTGAGAGTGCTGAGGAGAAGCAGATACCTCGTACAGTTCGGCACTTATCCGTTACTGCTGATGCTGTCACGCAGCTCAAAGGCCGGTGCGAGCTCAAAAGATTGCGCATGTTCATAATTCTAAAGCATTCCTCGTCTTCTCTCAGTCAGTTGCCAGATGATATCCTCAAAGAATTGAAGGGTGTCCGTGTGCTTGGTTTGGATGGCTGCGATATGGTTGATCTGTCGGATAAAATTGGTCAACTGATGCACCTCAGGTACCTTGCTCTTTGCAAGACAATTACAAGGCTTCCACAGTCATTGACAAAACTGTTCCTTCTTCAGACCCTAAGTATCCCTAAGAGGTGCCGCCCCGAGCAGTTTCCGAAAGATATGCGGAACTTGAAATATTTGCGCCATCTGGATATGGACAGGGCAAGTACGTCGAAAGTTGTGGGTATTGGGGAACTGATTCATCTCCAGGGATCAATTGAGTTCCATGTTAAAAGGGAAAAAGGTCATACGTTGGAAGATTTGTATGATATGAATGGTCTCTGCAGAAAGCTCCATATCAAGAACCTTGATGTTGTATCCAGTAAACAAGAGGCCAGCAAAGCTGGCCTGAGAAAGAAACAGGGTATTAAGGTGCTGGAACTAGAATGGAATTCCACTGGTAAGAGTGACCCTTCTGTCGATGCTCAAGTGTTAGAAGGCCTTGAACCGCACCCGCATGTTGAAGAGGTCCGTATCAGAAGATATCATGGTGATAAGTCACCGTGTTGGTTGGACATGAGCTTCAAGTTGAAGGAGGGAAGTACACCGTGCCTACTTAAATCTTTATATTTGACCAACTGTAGGAAGTGGGAGGTCCTGCCTCCTCTTGGGCAGCTTCCCTGCCTGAAGGTTTTGCATTTGAAAGAGATGTGCTCACTGAGACAGATTGGCAGTGAGTTCTATGGAACCAAGTTGATTGCATTTCCATGTCTGGCAGAACTTGAATTTGATGATATGCCACAGTGGGTTGAGTGGACCAAAGAAGAGAGCATGACCAATGTTTTTCCCAGGCTCCGTAAGCTGAATCTTTTGAACTGTCCCAAATTGGTTAAAGTGCCTCCTTTCGCTCAGTCCATCAGGAAGGTCACTGTCCGAAACACAGGGTTTGCTTCACACATGAAGCTATCCTTCTCATCATCGTCGAGAGCTTGCAGTGTTGCACTAGAGACATGTTGTGCCACCATCCTTACAATAGGTTTGCTGCACCGGCAACAGGTGGAAGCAGTCGCAGTTTTGACTCTGCGGCGCTGCCAAGGCGTAAATTTTGAGGACCTTCAGGCACTTATCTCACTGAAGAAGCTGCATATATCCCATCTAGACATAACAGATAAGCAGCTGGGTACTTGTTTGCGAGGTTTACGATCACTCACCTCTCTGGAGATAGACAACTGCAGCAACATAACATCTCTTCCACATGTTGAGAGTTCGAGCGGATTGACGACGTTGCACATTCGACAGTGCTCCAAGTTGTCCTCTCTGCATTCCTTGGCGAGTTTTGCAGCACTGGAAAGCATGTCGGTCGACAATTGCTCCAAGCTCACCTTAGAGTCTTTCCCTGCCGACTTCATCAGCCTCAGTTCTCTGAGAAAATTGAACATAATGTGCTGCACGGGGCTGGAGTCGCTGCCAAACGGCTTCCCGTCTTCACTGCAAGTTCTTGATCTGATTGGGTGCAAGCCAGCGCTGTTGAACCAGCTGCAGCTCAAGGACGGGCCAGAATGGGATAAAATAGCTCATATCCCGATTAAACGGATCCATTGACCAGAGGCTCGTTGTGTTGGTGCATCCGATGCCGTTATCATTCAGTTCGTTGTCGCCGTTCAAGAATGCCACCTTTCCTATGAAATGATCAGATAGAATCGACGCGGTATGTGCATTTCAGATTACATAGTCGATGTCTGCCATTTGTGTGTGAAATTCTAGTATGCAAGATGAGAGATGCCGGATGGATCTGTATCCCTCCTGTATGTATGTAATGTGTGAAATTCTAGTATACTCATACGTTCTGTATGTAACTAATGTGCCCTTTTGGCTGATGTACATTCTCATTACTCTTTCTCTTTCTGTTTGTAGCCTTGCTGCGATTGACTGAGCTGTTAACAAATGTAATCACTAGCTAAATTGGATCGGTGTTATTTCTTTTCGTTGCTTCAACTTGTCCCCCCTTTACGTTGATTGGTAAATAACAAAATGTGGGTCAGATTTCAGTCCACAACGCATACGTCACATGTACTACTTTTATCATTGGGATTTTTTGTTTTTTTGCTCTAGTCTGAATTCTGAAACATGTTTCAGCACACAACACCTACGTCAGGACCTTTGGATCAAGTGCTAACTTGATCCTCCTTTTCCTGGTCTACAATTTGAAATTTTAAATTATTTCAATCACGGCATACTACAGAAACCCTTTTTTTTTGCAAGTAACCAATTTCAGGATATGATTAGGAGTAATTATGGCTGATAAAACCAATGTTAATATTTTCATTCAGCATATCATTTTCCATATAATAAAAGTTTCGAAAAGCTTGAGAGACACCCACTTTTCTGAACGAAGGGAGCACCGCAAGGTACCATTTCAGACATTCGCGCCTTATATATTTTTTTTTCTCAATAAAGGACAATACACACTCAGTTTGTAAATCAAGAACTAGTCTAGACATTGAGGATGCACAGGGACAAATTATTAAATAAAAGAGAGAACAAATAACATGACGCCTAAAGTGTCCTCAAGGCGACCAAGGGCACCCTACACACCATTGATTACGAGTCGAGGGACTAGTCGAGACTAGTCGCTAGACTAGTCTATGAGTCGCATTCTGGGTGTCGACTAGAAATCTCGTGTAGACTAGTTCGCCGAGTCGAGGAGTCGAAGGACTAGTCGTAGACTAGTCTAGACTAGTCGTGCACCTTGAGTCGTTCGACTCAATTTTTTTATTTTTTTAGGGATTGGGAGGGGATAAGTGAGCCAGCCACCCTGCCCCTTTCCTCCATTGCTTATGCTCTTCATGGATCTGCACTGGCCCTTTCCCTCTATTGCTTCTGCTCTCCCTAGATCTGCCCTACGGTCTCCCTCTGCTGCCTTCTGGCTACTGGATCCGCTCGTCCCTCAGGTTGCAGTAAGCAAGCAAGCATACTAGCAAAGTAATTTCTCCCTTCTCTTCCTTCCCTTCTTTGATTCGATTTTTACCCCCTGCCCTCTTCTTTATTTCGTTTTGTTTGCTTCAGTTTCAAGATCCTTAGGTCTAAAGTGCAATGCCTATGCCGGAAATATCTCAAGTACTATATTCAGCAGCTGCAGCTCAGACCAATGAGCAATATGATCCATCGAAGGATCCTGCAAGAAGCCAACTAGGAGCAAGGATCCAACATGGAAATATGCTTACTGGACTAATCTGCAGGACAAATTGACGCTCCAATGCACTTTCTATAGTATATATTACATATTAATACTAGGTTTTAGTAATTGATTACTGCAAGTTGTGAACTACAGTACCATGTCGACTAGTCCAGCAGTAGTCTAGACTAGTCACGATTAGTCTATGAGTCTCAACCTTCAACGACTCATCGACTCGTAAACATTGCTACACACATCCTTGGCAACACATGCACTACAAAAAAAGGCACTCAAAAAGTCGAAGACAACGCCTTCAGGAATGCGCCGCCTTCGCCAAATCCAGAAGGCCAGATAACGGGTGTTCACCCCAGAGTGCAATCCCATTATGGCATAATCACATAGTAACTCAAGAGTTAGCTAACTAACAGGCACTCCATTCTTAAACAGGTAGTATGAAAATTATCCTCGCTGCTACTAGCACCACCTTCCAATGGTGGATAAGGGAACCAAGCTACAAGAACTATATATACATCGTATGCAGCGTACCGCTACTCCACTTGAAGCATGGTAATAATGCTCATGGAAAAAATATTAAAGACCATACAGGGGAAACGCCTTGCGGGCAGTCATACTTGCCATCTGCAACATAAGAATTTGTGATTACATGGCGACAATGAGCTCGTCCGGGGTTTCTCCATCTGTGCTTAGAGGTGGCAGCATCATGTCGTCCCCGGCCGAGAAATGATACTTCTCCCCAATGGCTCTAAGCAGCTGATAAACCTCAAACATGGTGGGTCTCTCCTTCGCGGTGGTGACTGTGCAAGAACATGCGACTTTCAGGAACTGCATCAGCTCACTGTCATTGTCCTTCCCTATCAACGACTTGTCGATTGAGTCTTGGAGAATGGAATTGTTGGATAGGTAGGTGATCCACTCTACTAGATTCCCCCTGAAGTTATCTGGAGCAGTGGAAACCTGAGTAGGCCTCTCACCGGTGATAAGCTCGAGGAGAACCACTCCGAAGCTGTAGACGTCACCCTTCGGTGTGGCCACCAGCGTGCTCCCATACTCTGGTGCCACATAACCAATATCTCCAAATTCCCCGTTGACAAAGGTACTGAGATGGGTGTCTAGGGGGTTCATAAGCCTAGCAAGCCCAAAATCTGAAATCTTTGGTTCATAGTCGTCATCCAAGAGGATGCATTTGGAGCTTATATTGCGGTGAAGGATTCGAGGATTGCAAGTGTGGTGAAGATATGCAAGACCTTTTGCTGCACCAATACCAATTCTTAACCTCAGAGGCCAATCCATCTTGCAATCTTTCCCCTCTTCATGTAACTGATCATAGAGTGATCCTTTGGGTGTGTGCTTGTACACCAACAACTTCTCCTTCTTAGCAATGCAAAATCCAAGTAGAGGAACCAAGTTGCGATTCCTTACTTGGCCAAGTGTCTTCATTTCTGAAGTGAACTGTGATTCAGAATGTTGTGAATCTTGTAGCCTTTTGACAGCAAGAAAAGAACCATCAGGTAGCACTGCCCTGTACATAGTCCCTGTCCTTCCAGTAGCTATGATGTTTTCCTTGCTGAACTGTTTGGTGGCCTTCATAAGATCACTTAGTTTCATCTTTGAAACTGGATTCTCAAACATAGACACCTGGATAATTGACAAAACCATGACAACAGTAAGTTATTGTTTTGCACATTGCCTTTCGATCCAAAATAAAAGAAAAGGAAACAACAAAGTAGTTTACCTTGATTGTTTTTGTTCCTTTGATACTCTTTGCCCACTTATTTTCATCCTCATCCTTTTTTGCTTTCTTGGCTGGTAATTTCCGCAGACAAACGAACACAACTATTGCAACAATTATGATCACAACTACGACGCCAACAATAGCTCCAACGATTGCCGCATTGTTCTTGCTCTTTGCTGAAGCCTGGCATTCATCTAATGGAGCCCCACATAGCCCTTGATTACCGGCAAAATTCGATGCCGTGAAATTTTTTCCTAATGAATATGGAATAAACCCTGATAGTCGGTTCTCTGCGACATTGAATGCAGTTAACCGAGTCAGAAGACTGAACTGCGGTGGAATTTCGCCACTAAACTGGTTATGTTGGAGATTGAGGACGTTCAGGTAAGTCATGTTTGATATATTTGGTGGGATGGTGCCAGAAAAACCATTGTAGGAGAGGTCCAATGATGTTAAGTATGGTATTTCTCGGGAGATGTCTTGAGGGATAGGTCCTGAAAAGTTGTTGTTTGACAGATCCAGCCCAGTCATACTGCTACAATTCTGAAGACCGCGAGGAAATGAACCCTGGAGACCGAGGTTGCCTAGGCGCAAAGAAAGAACTCGGTCCTCATCCGGGTGCCAACATTCCACGCCGGTAAATCGGCATGTGAAACCAGCAGTGCCGTTGTCAAAATTCCATGAGGACTTGAGTACACCGTTGGGGTCAATCACTGACTGCTGAACAGATCTCAAGCACTGGATATCAGCTTCAGAGGCGAAACAAGGGAAGACCAACAACAGTAGAAGAATAACCCTGAGAGGAGCATAATGATTTGCCATCGAGCACTTGCGCCTAACGTCACCTCTCGTCCGTGACAATACCACTTGTAGATTCAAGCTTCACCTACACGTAAACAGAATCGAATTTATAAAATTAGAGAAACACATACCAGTTGGTGATAACAGACATATTCCAAAACGAAAATATTGATTTGATTGTAATACTGAAAAGCATAACACAAGGACGGCATCAGTGGGGAACTGATCCCCACTACAGCCATAGCACATAACATATGATGCGAAGGTTCGGCTACGATTAGCACCAAAGAATAAGTGCAACCGGTCGCATGGTAATTAATCATCCCCCCTAATAATAATAACAGTAAAAACTTGCAACCCTGTTCTTCCATTATCTATATGAACATAAGTGGAAACTTGCAGCCGGAGGCAGTTCCTGACCCAAGAACCACCAATCGAGACCACAATTATTATTTATAGGAACAACCAACGAGGTTTTTCTTATTAAATATCTCGAATTTCTCGCAACAGAAGCGAACGGCTCGAACCGCCAAAAGGCGCACTTCCCAGAAAGAAGGAAATCTAAGGGGCAGCAAAGAAAAATCTCCAAAAGGGATGGCGCCGCACCATCCATATGTCGCATGTGTGTATGCTATTTTTCTCCCTGATTTCCCTCCCGGGGGCCGGCCCTCTTGGATTTTTTTAACTAAAAATGAAGAACCACCGGACGGACAAACCCCTTGCTGCTGCTGCTTCCCCAGCAACAAACCCCCACCAATCAGGCCAAGAGGCAGCGATTTCTTCCCCCGGAATTTCTAGCC